AACATCTTTAAGGAAGGATGGGAGCGACACCAACATTGTATATGCACCCCAGTCACCTGCGAAATGTCCAAACCAGCAGGCCCAAACAGCGCGTGATGACAGAATACTGCCCCACGGCGTTGCAGGAGGCTTAACAAACAAATCTGCTATTCATAACTGAAGATGTAGGCATAACTGTTTATTCTTACTTTTCCTGTTTGCTTCCCAGTAGATGCCTCCACAGCTTTGATAATATACTCCTTCTCAGCTTCCGAAATTAATGGATGATTACTGGGCCTGTCCGTCACTATGTAAGTCCAGAGAGCAGACCATACCACACCGATGATTCCTGAAATACCAACGAATTGACAAAAACAGATTCACGACTTACTCGTGGAGTATTATGGGAAGGACTCATACTGAAAAAAAGCAAAACGAACCAAGAGTGTAGAAAATGCTCGGCCAACCGCCATCAAATCCATATTGGCAGAGAAAACCAGAGAGAGGTAGCACAAAAACGTTTCCTATCTGAGCGCCTGTACGGAAAGTCATGGGTTCAGTCATTGATTATTTACAAGAATATAACGCCTTGAACATACATACCAGCATAACTGACTCCAGTTAGCACAGATAACTCGAGAGGCGGTCCCCATACTGACCACATGGTATGCATGGCAGGGAACGTAGCACCCTGTAATGGAAATCAATCGAATATTCATTCATTTGTTATTCCGTACTAATGATAATATCCTCAGGAAAAAAGTAAAAAGTTCGATTTTAGCAGGAATAACCAGCAAACAGCACCTGAAGGAATCCAATGGCAACGCGAAGACCAGCGAGAATATAGGCATGAGTACGAGCGGCCACAGGGCTTGCTAAGGTAAGCAATGAAGCCCCAAGGATGGTGACCAGAATTACTCGCTTACCACCAAAGCGGGAAGCGAGGTATCCTCCAAGAACCTAGAAACCAATAGCTTTCAGGTACAGTGAAAAATTCACACGGGACGAATAAAAGAACTTACCTGACTTCCCAAGTAACCCCAGAAGAAGGCTCCTAGAATATGTCCCTGGGTAGTTTTACTCCACTCGAACTCACCCTCAACCTGAAAATCATCATTATAAAAGAGAAGAAAATCGTCATGACATTATAACCACTACAACGTCCCAATGCTTGATCACTAATTTCCAAACGCCAAAAACTGAACTTTTTTGTAAACATCAAATGTTGGGCTATAAGGCAACGGTGCCCTCCAACGAACGGTAATTTGTGATGGGAAAATGGTTAGAAGAAAA